CTGCTTCTTGCGCAGCGCGAGAGCGATGCGCCACGATGTATTCTCCCAGTGGATCTTGAGCTGGTCGATCTTGTTGGGGCGGCTGCGCACCAGCCGCTGCCACCATGAAAAGTACTCGTCGATGTCGCTCTCCGGGGCGTACTCGATGAAGATCAGGGCGACGCGAATGGCCTCGAGGCAGTCGAGAATGGCTACCTGGCTCTTCGGCTTCCAAGGCGTCTCGGGTTCGGTCTCGAGCTGAAGGTCGGCGTTCACGACCAAAGTGGTGACCTGTTCCTGTGACCGGGCCCGTTTGCGAGCTGAGCTTAGGGTGTTGGGGAGGAGCGCCGCGGTGAAGTGCCTGTGCTGCACGATCTCCTCCAAGGGGATCGCGTTGTGGGCGAGGTTCTTGGCGTCGTTGAGGAGCTTCGCGATCACGGCCTCGGCTCCTAGGAGAGTCATCTCGGGGAACTTGCGAGGGACTCCATGTATGAGCACGGCTTCATACTTGTGTATCTGCTGCTGCCAATACCCTGGCGGCAGCTCCTTTGTCTTGGAAGTCGAGGTGGCTGCGGCCGCGGTCGTGGTCGGGGAGCTGCTCGCAGCGTTCGGTGCTGACTTCTCGCGAGCCTTTCGCCAGGCGTGGCGCAGTCTTGCGCGAGCCACTGGCAGCTCGGCGTCACTCACTTCAAACACCTTGCCGTCCTGGAGCTTGAATGGCGAGGCGAGCGGCTGTACCATAGCTTGATCGAACTCCTTCACGTCCTCGCCCATCTCGGCGAAGATCGCGGTGGAGAGGATGCCTTTGGTCGCGACGTAGGCGATCAGGTCATCTGACGCGCCAGCGTCCAGGAGAAGTGCTCGCAGGCCGGTATCCATGACAACCTGTGCGCGAGAGCTGGGGCTATGCTTAAAAAGAAAAACTGCAGCGGGGCGGTGCGATAACTGTAGTCGATGCCGTGTCACGTCTCTCTGAAGGCTCTCGGTCTCTTTTCTCGGGCGGGGCGCAGCGAGGCTGCGGGTTAGATCGCTCAGCTAGAAGAGGAGTCATAGCTGTCAGTGGACTCCGTGTCGGACGGCTGCTGCCCGGCCGCCTTCTTGCGACTTTCTGCCCCTGCCTCGGGGAAGCACTTGAGGCACAGGTTCTGAGAACCATCGTCATGTGCCCGGGTGAAGTTGGAGTACCCGTACGGCCAGCCGCAGCGAGCGCGCCATTTCGCTGGCGGTCGTGAGGACTCCTCGGGGTCCCTCATGTGTGCCTTGCGCTTGCAAACCAGGTCCGGCCTGTCCTGGATCAACTCGAGGCGTGCGGCTATGTCGTCAAGCGATCCGATCATTGCTGCCACGGCCTCTTTGTCCTCTGCGTCTGTCTTTGTTGAGCGAGCTTTCTTCGTCGGTCGAGGCGGAGGCGCTGGCTCGGACTCCTCCAGGTTATGCACGAGGGTCCAGGGAGGGGAGTCGTGCGCCTTGTCCTTGAGGGCTGCAGGACCAGGCGGCAAGGTCGGAAGGCCGGCAGCCGCAATGCCGTAGAGGGCGTCCTCGAGTTCGGTGTCCTGGACGTAGCGCTCGATCGCGCGACTCCCCCATCTCCCGAGCAACATGATCGTGCTCACCGGTATCCTCATGCGACACAGGTGTTGGGCGCCCGAGACTCGAAGACAATGTCCCCCGAACCTGTTCACCTCGGGCTCGAGGGGAGCTCCGGCTCTGGTTAGTGGCACGTCGGCCGCGGTGAGAACTGCGTGGATCGCCTCGATCGTCTGTGCCTTCGTCATGGGCTCGCCAGTGTCGGCTGCGAAAATAAAATCCTCGGAGTCGGAAGAGCACTGGTCGGCGATGCGGAGCGCCGCGTGGTAGGGGCAGATCGTCTCCGGGATGGTGCCGCAATAGCACGAGTGTCTTCGCTGCACCATTGACCCCACGGTGTCGTTCTTGCTCGCGGACAGGGTGAGGCATACTTGCTTTCTTTCGGAGTCGAGAGTCATGTGCTTGACCCGGAGCGCGGAGAGCTCGATCTCGCGGCAAAGAAACCAGGATCCCAGGACCACCATGGCATGGTGAAAGCGGAGCCTTTCCTCGAGCAGGTCAATGCAGATGTCGAGGGAGTCGAGGCGAAAGGCGTCCTTGGGGGAGTTGGTGCCCATGCCTCGCTCAATGGACCTGATGGCGTCGCGTATCGCCAGTTCCACGGGCGGGGGGACAGCTTGGCCCGTGACATGTATGTGCTCCTTGCGAGCCCGAGAGAAGTACTGAGCGGAGCTGCGGTATCCCCCGCTGCGAAAACTCGTGCCGACCTTCTCGATGGTATCGGCGGTCAGAGGCACGGGGCTGATTCCCCAGGCCGCGCAAATTTTGCACCATGTGACCCAGCGAGCGTCATTCGGGGCCCGCGCGGAGCGGGCGTACACATTGTCCCGAAAGTCTCGCAAGGCCTCCTCCGAGTTGAGCGGGTCAGCGGCTGCCAAGGCCTTGTTCAACATGCCGCCAGCCGAGGTTCTCGGAGCAGGCTGGTCGAAGCGCGGCGCGGGTCCGCGGGGCAGGGCGCTCCCTTGACTGGCTTCCATGTGGTCTTTGTACCCCGACATGACCAACATGACCTCGATCTCACCGGCGAGTCGATGGTCGACGTGCTTCGCGCGGAGTGCCGCATCATGTATGCTTTCGAACCCCAGCTCGCTCATCTTGTCGATGGTTTGCGGCGACAACCCGGCCGAAACCGCTGCTTGCATGAAGTCCACGAACGAGTGGTAGTCGAAAGCCGACATGGCGTGGCGTGCGCGCGCGTGCACGACGTACGAGCAAAGCAACCTGAGCCTTGAAGAGAACGGCTACGCAGAGCGGGCGTCCAGCTTCTTGTGCATGAAGTGATGTGACCTGACAGGTTCGAGCTGCGGGGCGTCGGGCGGGGAGAGGTGCAAGCACTCGAGACTGTCGTTGCGAGCGAGGCGAACCGAACACGAGGCACGACATGAAAGTGCAGACTGCGCATGCCCTCGCAAACAGAGTCCCTTGCAAGCACTCGAGGGAGAGAGTCAACGCGAGCGGAGACCTAATGCAAGAGAAGAGGCGCTCCTGTCAGCAGGCTTCGGAAGAGAAGAGAGTCAGAGAAAGGAAAGACCTAATGCAAGAGGGGAGGAGCAGCACTCACTCACTCCTGTGGTTCGGGCGGGGGGAGCGGGCTCGTCGCAGAAGCTCGGACCCCTTCTTTTGGCGGCGCGGGCGGCGCAGGGGTTGCGAGGCGAGGCGGTGATTGCTGTATGACCGCCGGTCGCCATGGAAGAATCAGAAGGCCCGCTCTTCAGCGCCTTCCTGCGGAGCGAGCGCGCTCGCATGGACCGCAAAAATGATTGCCGTGTGCCGTCCCCGATCGCGTTCGGATGATGGGACGAAAGCACCGGCCCTGACATACTGGCGTGCGGTCGGCCTTGCGCGTCTCGCAGCCCAAGTTGCAGTAGCCTTCCACGCGGTGGTCGGCGTATTTGCCGGGTGGAGGCTGTGCCGGGACGCCCGGTGGCAAGTTCCAAACGACATTGGTCTCGCCCGTCAGCAAGTCGCATGGCTCAGGCCACCCTTCCCAAGCGCGCAGCCGCTCTTCACGATCGCGGCGACGAGCGATGCGAGCCTGGTCGCGGGACACCTCGGCGGGCGAAGGAAAGGACGCTTTCGCCACCGGCGGGTCGGGCACCGGAGTCGGCTGACTCGGTCCGGGCGCCCCATCATCCTCGTCGGTGTCCTCCGCTGTGGCGTTGGCCCTTGTTGCTGTCGAGGCTCCTGCCGTGGAGGGCGGGTCGGGCCGAGCGGGCGACACGCACAGCAGCCTGCGTGAGATGACCCTGGGCTGGTCATCGTCATCATCCTGGTCGTCCCCGTCGTCCTGGCCTCCGTCGTCGTCCTGCTCCACCGGGTCCTCGGGCGTGGCGTCCTCGACGTCAGAGGTGGATACTGGCTGCGAGGCAGCCGCCGTAGCCTGCAGGAAGTCCTCAAGGTCGGGCGCCAGCTCGTCGAAGAAAACTTCCGCCGGCGGTGAGCTGGGCGGCGGCAAAGGCGGAGCGGGCGAAGGCGAGGCCGAAGGTGGTGGTGCCATCAGTTCCAGGTCTTGTGGCACTGTGTCCACGTACGGCTGGGTGAAGACTGCCGCCAAGGTGCTGTCGTAGTCGCTGGGTCGTTGTGGCGGTCGCTTCTGCTGAACCACAGCCTTGGCCGGCGTCGCGATCGGAGCTGCGGAGGCAGCCTTTGCTTTGGCCGGCGAGGCGGGCGGGTCCTGGATCGTCGCCTTCTTGGGCGTGGTGATAGCCGGGACGCCCTTGGCTCCACTGGAGGCCTTCGTCTTCGGCTGCTCCGTCCCCGTCGGCTGCTTCGGTGGAGACGTTGAAGAGCTCGGTGGCGGGCTGGTGCTCGACGGCTTGGCGGGCATGGCCTTGAGCGGAGGGCTCGCGGCCTTCCCCATGCTCTTGAGCAACGGTCCGGGCATCGGCGAAGGCGTTGTCCCTTGCGTCAGCATCTGCTGCTGGGCCAGCTCGAGCGTGCGGTCGCGAGCCGAGATCCTGGCCGCGTAGTGGGCATCGGTACCCATGAGCACAGTGTGCCCGATGCCGAGCACTCTGCGGAGCTGCACCGAACCCAGGCTCCGGAGCAGAACGCGCAAGTCGTCGTCATCCAGGAGAGGAAAGGTCTCGAAGACCGCCATGGCGTTGCGGAACTGCTCCACTGTCGTCACTGCTCCGGCAGCACCATCAGCCGCGGCCGCACTTGTAGTCGGGGAGCTCGAGGACATTGCGGCGCGAGCGGGCGGCTATCCTGAAAAGCTTGAAAGAACCTCGAGCGGGCAACAGCTGCGGTTGTCTGCTGTTGCCGCTCGTACATGTCACTCCGTGCACACGTGCACTACACAACAAAAAGGCGTCTTTTGCCCTGTTGCCCCGCAGTCAGAGCTAAAGTGGCTTGGCGACAGTCCTGATGATGCCTGTAGGCTCCTTCTGCACGGAATGGATTCACAGACGGAAATCGAAAACGTAATGAATTTAGCCCTGCGTCTGCTTCGATATCCAATGAAAGAGCACGCTCATCGCCTCATCGATCCATGCATTTACCGCAGTTTCATCACATCGACAGCTTCTGCTTCTCCCGAAAACAGCCTCGGCCAGCATTGCAAGCGAGAACCCTCATACTGAAAACAAAAGGCAATGTCTCTAGTCTTCAAAAGCAAGGCACGCGCATCTGGGGGTTGAAATTGATCCAGCGCGCCTCTGTGGACGAGAACGAGATCCAATCGGGATCTGGACCTGATCTTGCATGCTCTCAAGACATCGGTGAAAGCTATGATGACGAGCAGTCGGATTTTGTGCTGAGCAACGCATGACTTCCTTTAATCGCTGGATGTCATCTCGATCCAACTCCAGTGAAGGTTTGTCGTCGGACAGCGGCTCATCTGCCATTTGGCAGCGCGCTTCAAAGATTATTCACAAGTAACGTGGGGCGGCACATGTCCACCTGCAAGTTGCTCAACCTATCTGAATCTGTCAGGTTCGGGGCTTTGCGTCACGCATGTAGGAAAGGTTGCTAAGGGCTGTGCACTTCGTTTGTCATGGGCCTAGCGCCTAGTGCTTCGATCCGAAAATGCTTTCCCTCAGAACATGCCAAAGCAAGCGCACCGATACGAACCTGGAAGCACTTTGGAAACTCATCTCTGGCAGTATTTTCCTGCCGGTGTTGCCGCACGAAGCCAAACCCCTTCTAGCCTTCATTGCCGGAGCGCAACTGGGACTGGCAGGCACACAAGCGACCTCTCACCCGATATTCTCTCTAAGAGTGGCTTAGCGAAGACATCAGAAGAGTAGTGTCTGAGCAGGTCACATGAAGCACTCATGCCTGCAGTGCTCCCCACCGGCGCACAGTTCTGCCCAGTCCGTTGATGCATATCACACCGGATGGACGGAATGATGAGAAACAATGGTGCAATAATGCATTTCTGTACATCTCTTGATGCTACGAGTAGCATTTGAATGTGACATCAATTTCTCAATTCAGTTGGCTTTTCCGATTGCCCCAACAGCAAAAGCAACACGATCAACCAGCTCCGCCTTCGAGCCCTTCGTGGGCCACGCTTGGGATTGCAGCCAGCTGGCGAGCAATCCTCTACTCTGCTTTCGAAGCCAAGCACAAAGTTCAGCTGCACCATCTGGCCTCTTCAGAAGTGAATGTGCTGTTGCCTCGAAGTCCTTACACTGCTTAGCAGACACCTTGGCTGGTGTGCTCTTGGCAGAATCGGCCTTGTCGGCCTTGCCCTTACAAGGGGATGTTAAAACTTCACTGGCCGTCGGAGCAGCAGCCGCAGGACCACGCAGTGGCACAGTGATGGTTGCCCACTTCGACTGGCCGGCTTCATTGGCAGCTGCCACATACACGCAAGCGGCGGACTGCTGGAAGAAGGCAGGCATCTTCACCAGGTCTTCTTCGGCCAGGACACAGCTAGTGAGTTCATCCAGAGACACATATCTCTTAAGTTCATCGTTGTACTCCGGCTCGAGCACTGTTATGGTGAGCGGCTGGCCAAACGAGGGATCCAAAGCCGCAACTAAATACTTTCGAATAGGCGACGACATCGCTGTTGGCGACTGCCAACTAATTCGGATGCGTCTGCGGCCAGGCGCAGCGCAAAGCACCGCGGATGCTAGCCGTGCCGGTGCTGCAGGTGGGTGAAGCTCTGCAAATTTCAGCTTGTGTTCGCAGAGCTGCTTGGCTTTACGGAGCTCATCCATTGCCTCGGTGGCTCCGTCGCAGGCTCCGATGCGATCGGGGTGGAGCTTTCGCATCAGCGAACGAAAAGCCTGGTGAACGAGGGAGACTTCAGCCGCCGCTGCATCCAGGCCTAGCACCGCCTTGGCCCATGCTAGTTCTGATCTGAAAGCCCGTTTTCCTTCCTGTAGTTGCAGGATCCTGGCAACCTCTTCTGATGCCTCTTGTTCGCGCATCTGCAGAAGGTCTGCCTGTCAGCTGTGCTTTCATCAACTCGCCCTCACTCTCAAGGCAGTCAGCACATCCTCGCGAAGTCTGGCAAACACGGGCCAGCGCCTGCGCGGCTTGATCGTCACGAACATCGGAAGACGTAGCAGTCGTCGATGACTTCGCTGTCGCTGATGCTGGCCTCACGAAATGCAAGTCTGCAGGTCTGAGTGAACGAGAAGGCTGCACGAGAATAAAATGTGAATCTGACCTTTCTGCCGGCCTGGCTTTCTGGCCAGCTGCATCTGCAGGAAGCTGCATTGGGTCTTCCTTCAAGGAGTGGAACGGCACATCTTTTAGGAAGCCACGCCCAAACCGACCGAAGCCATGCTACTTTTCGCACTGCATACTGTATCGCATGGGGACTTTAAAGTTTTGCCCGGTGCTGCTTGGCGATATGAAGCATGAGATGGCTCCGCGGCCTCCTCCTTCACAGCCGATGGTGACAGGTCAAGCCTCTTGCCTTCAAAAGGTTCACCAGTTGCAGAAGTCACTACAGTGGAAGCAGGAAAGGAAATTACGAAGCTGAGCTTGGTGCGCAAACCTGAGCGGCACGGGCTTCGGCAAGGTGTTGCCACGTAGGACTTGTCTCCACAGCCAGGTGGAGAGCTCTGAAAAAGTAATTTCTGCTGGCCACAGAACTTGGGCACGTTGCCCTTCAAGGACTCGCGAGCCTGCGCTGACTGACATCGTTGCAACATGTCGGTTGTTGCTGCCCTTTCAGTCAGCACATGCTTCGCCCCAGAACGCCCCATGCTCTTCCCACCGAGCCGATACGATATAGTCCAACTCTGCACTGACTTTCGGAACTCCTGGATGTGCAGGCGCCTGCGGTGTTGCGAGCATCGCCGATCCTCGAGCAGCGAGCCGCTGCCGCAGAGACGGCCTCACCTAGGAGCTCGCATCGTTGCAACCTGTCGCAACCTCTGCGAGACCGGGGTTGTGGCTGTGCTGGAGGCTCCGACATCGCTCATGTCGTTCTGCTGGTCCTTGTCTTGCCATACCGGCTCTGGAGATTTCGGGAGTTCGGAGTTCGTTCATGGCATGGCACATCGACCGGCAACGGAAACGTCCTCCGGCAGCACGGAACTGTCAGTCTGCACAGGGGACCTCGATCGATCGCGCAATCCGCCTGACCAGGAACTCGCAGCTACTTCTAGCAATTTAGGAGGCCGCGAGTTAGCAGAAAGATCGGGCCTTCAGCTTCCTTGGATCGCGTCCAGAAACTCAACGTCTGTTGGCCATCGCCTTTCGCAAAAAAGCGCTGAAGTCCCTTGCTGCTTGTACTTGCATGTACTGGTGATGATGACCTGCTGGTCCTCTCTTGCCGCGTCTGGGTGCCATCGTACAACTTGCTATGCGATGTGCACATGCAGGACTCGGCTCCTGTTGTTCGCTGTCGCATTCCGTTTGGATGAGCTCGGCCCGCAAACAGAACACTGAAATGTGAGTTGTGCTGTTGACGACATCCGATCTCCATGCCTGTAGGCATATAGGAGTTTCCTGTTTCGCAGATGCATGTCATGTGACTTTTTTCTCCAGCCCATCATGTTATCCAGAGCTGGCTTGCCTGGCGGGGTCACTTTACTCTCCCGCAAATCTTTCAAGTCAAGAGTGCTTCCACTTCCTGCTACTGTACTTGACTTGCTTGGTCAGGACATGGCAAGTTTGGTAGGGATAACCTCGCTGAGAAGACTTCAAATATCTGCGATCGTGCTGGAAAGCACCTTTTCGCAACAGCAGCATCAGCTCGCGAGTATGGCACGGCTTCTCGGACACGTTGGAAAATCCACATATTCTACTGTCTCCAATGCAACCATGGCATGGTCGTCTTGGAGGCTCTTGCCGCTGTACCCTTTGCCATCGAGTTGCCTTGTCCGAACGGCTACAGCTGCAACATCAAGCTACGGCCACACTACGGTCTTGCGTTGCTTCGTTCTGTCATTCTACCTACACACTGCTCGCGGATCAACCCTATCCCAAAAACACGTAGCGCCAGCATGCCAGCAAGTCGCTCGACGGCGAAGATGCGAGCTTCTTGTGCTGTGCCACCAGGCCAATATGGAGGAGCACGGCAGAGGCTGGGACGAGAGCTTACGCGTCCATACAAGCACAAAAGCATGTAACATCCGTGTAAGTATAATGGACATACCCACCAATGCAGCCAACTCCGCTGCAGCAGTCCTCACAGCCATAGAGCAGCCAGTCCCCAATAACATAATTTTGAATGAAACTCCGTCTGTACACACCCTTTCCGGTGGAGAGGGCCAATCTAATTCTACGTGAACACCACTTGAGACACCAACTACATGTGGAATGCGGCGAAGCCTGCAGACGTTGAACGTTGAAAAATCTGGCAGCGCCTATGCATTCCAATTGGAAAAATCGTGCCCAAAGGACAAAGGGTTTCCAAAGGTTGCTACAGCTAAGGTGGCCTTGCGGTGCACCGGCATGGAATTCGTGCACTCACTAACTGGGATACGCCAGAGGAAATTCTTCAAAGGACTAGGCTCAGGCTTTGCAGCTTGGCTTGGAGTTTGGAGGCCTGCTCGTGCCGATAAAGCACAAAAGCTCGAAGAACAAATGACCCGGAGCCTTGGTGCGGTGAGTATCGATTGAAGGATCTCCAGCTGTTCAAATCAAGCCTCCTGCCCCTCAAGTGAACACAGCAGAGAATGTGAGATGCCGTCACTGGCACCTTCCGACTGGCACGAGGAAGGTGAAGGATGTCAGACTTCGACGTTGAATGCCGCCACCATCACATTGTTGTCCTTCGCCTGGCAGGAGATGCATGAGGCAGATTGAATCACCTTACATCAGAGTGGAAGTGCTGCCTCCTGGACCAAGCCGAGGTATTTGTCAGATCGATGGGTAGCAAAAACCACCAATCTGCAAGTGCACATGTGCGGACACGATTGAAGCTCCTCTACAACCCTCTGCGTGCACCACATGTTGCAGCCTCTAAAACATCCAAAACAACACCAACACAACATTCGGATTTGTTGACTTGCGTTCTGCCGGCCTGTCTACTTGACCCAGGATACGCGTGTTGCACCTGGAGTGCAAAAAGCGATGCGAGCGGTTGGGCGGGCGAGGCCCTATCAAGAACCCTCAGCACTTCGACGCACAGACGATACTTTCGAGACTCATTCACTCATGCCACGGCACTTCGCAGCCGCGGCAGCGAGCTCCAGATGGTCACATTCCCTGTGTGGACATATCGTTACACCTTCCTCCTTGCATCTCTCCAGCAGTACCTGAGGAAGGTGTGGTGTGAGCTCGACAATGCAAATAACAAGCCGCCGGCCTGAACCTCGTCGTCTTGCTTTTCCAAGCTTTGTGGAAGCTCAACTGTTAGCAGCTCGGGCCTCCCGTGGTCCCGGATGATCAACATCTAATTGCATGACATGCGTCTCATGCAATGGTGGCTTCA